TTTTACCTATTGATTATAATAATAATAATAATAACGCACACACTCAACATAGCTCCGCACTAGGGAAACCCTGTGTCGCGGGTGCCATGGACACACACATAGACAACCACAAATTACACCCAAAAATCTTTTTTCGATGTTGTCCCATTACTATTTTTTTTCTTTATCTTGCTTTTAGGTATACAAAAAATTATTTTAGCTATAAACTTCAAAAGATATAAACTAATAAAAGTCTTGGTAAGCTAGATAGTAATACCAGTTTTAAAATCAAATAAAAATACATTAGAAAGCTCGTCTTACCGTCCCATTGCCTTGTCTTCTGTTTTATTCAAAACTACTGAAAGTTTAGTGAAAGCTCGGTTGGATTGGTATGTTGAACATAACAAATTGTTGCCCAGTGATCAGTGTACGCATTTCGAAAAGGTAGAAGTACCATGGGATTGTCTTTCTATATTTATGCGCTTTTTCGTTCGGTAATTTTATATATTTTAGCAGCATTTTTAGACATCAGTTCGGCGTATGAAAAAGTTATATTTGAAATCTAAATTAGATTCTTTAAAGGTTCCACCATTATTATCTAACTTCGTTATAAATTTGTTAAACAAATAGAAAAAACTATTAATGTTATAAGCGATGAATATTCTTTGCAGAGGACACTAAATAAAGGTCTTACGCAAGGATCTGTTCTGAGCCCCATACTGTATAACATATACACTCATGATTTGGTGATGGCTTTACTATTTTGCAATAAACGTGTTGACGATGTTCTTTTATATATTGAATCTAATCGAATTGATCAAACTGAATGTACTATCAAAAAATTAACGTTGTTAAAGTGCTGGTTAGATTTGAATGGTCTAGAGTTGTCTGCTAGTAAAAGCTCTATTATGTTTTTCTCAAGGCGTGAATTTCATGACACAGACGTTTCTTTTGATAATGACATAATCTCAGTCGTTGCGTCGTTAAATATGTTGGTATTATTTTTGATTGTATAATCCTCATTTTAATTCTGTTGTTAATAAATGTGAAAAGGTTCATAGCATGCTTAGATGTTTATGCGGGGTCTGGTAGGACAACCATTCGTAGATACTCTTGAAAAGTACCTAATGTTTATTTCTCTGATTAGAAGTATAATTGATTAAGGTTCTTTTATGCTGGAGCCATGTTTAGATAAACTTAAAACAAGATTCAGTCGAAGGCCCTCAGAATAATAGCCGGAGCCATGAAATCAAGTCCGGTAAATGCGATGCAAATGGAGTACGTCGAGCCTGCGCTTACCCTTCGTCGACAGGTTCCAGCTGATGAATTCTTTATTCCGCATTATCCAATTTAATCATCAGCCTGTACTGCAAAAACTCGAGTTATTAAACAATCTAATAAATACCCCAGGTTATTTGGCCTCATCAAAAGTACTCCCTTGCCTTATAAATAGTTATAGAAAGTATCTTACACTACAACCTCCAACTTACAGTTTCGATATGCACCCACTATACGGCAGTAATTATGAGTGCCTTATTTTGCACCCTAATGTTTGTTTTGATTTTAGTGAAGTTAATTGACGTTTTTCTAACGCATCTTTTCACTTTAATTTAGATGTTAATTGGCGTTCCTACAAACATATTTTCACTAATGCCTCAAAATTAAATAACTCGGCCGTAGAAGTAGGTGTTGTTCATACTCAATACGATATTATTAAAATAATGGTGAATGCCTAGGTCTTTGAATACATTTTCTTAGCAAAATTACATAAAACAATATTTTTTTACCTAGCAATAAAAAATCGTTGCTTTTTATAAAATTTATTTGAAATTGAATATGAATGAATATTGAATATGAAATTGAAAAAAAAATTCTCTTATTCAAAATTTCTGAGTGCTCTGCAGTCATTATGTAAATTCCCATTTAAATCGGGTAGTTTCCCAATCCGTGAAGCCCTTTCCGTTCCAAGGGTCTTTCTGTATTATTTGTATGGATATCAGGTCACAGTAATATATTAAGAGGTAACAAGACAGCCGATATCTTAGCTAAGGAAGCAACGAATAACGGCGATGTAGATTTGTTTAGACACTTTGCTTATGATTTAGCCACACTATTTATATTATAGAATCTCGGCAAACTGTGTAGGAAACAAGCAGTAAATCTACGGGCAGTATTTTCGTGATATACAGCCCGACATCCTTGGCAAACCCTGGTTTTCTCGTACACATTTTGAGAAACGTATTACTTCAATCATTACAAGAATGAGATTGGGACATACATACTTGCTCAACTGAACATCTTGCCAGACTCAATATAATACCTGACCCAGTGGACGCGAACAAGACATGAATGTGGTTCGTTTTTTCAATCTATAATTTCTTTGCATTTTTTTACCAACATCTATTCCTTTGCTACTAACTTGTAATAATTATTCCGTTTATGGTTTATTGGCTCAGTTCGGAAAAATGATATAAAAATTTAGATTATTATTTTTTCCAGCTATTACCATCCCATTGCCTTTCATAATTTCTATCCTTCATTGTTTTAATTTACCTATAACACACTGCCTACACTACCCTGTTGCTCCTTTTCCAAAATTCCGTTCGGTTTTATTTTTATTCCGCGTTTTCCTTTAACGTTTTTAATTTCCTATTGATAGCCAAAAACCTTTCCAAGTTTTTGGTTTGGTTCTTTGAAGGACAAGGGACGGAACGAGGTTATCTGATAAAGAACTAAGGTCGTCGACGTAACTGGTAGAACAAACAAGCTGAAGTGGAAATGGGTTGGTCATACCTATATGTCGAAGAACCGATAACCGACGGCGGAAGCGAGTTCTTGAGTTGAGACCACCGGCTTGGCAAACGTAGTGTAGGACTGTGGAGGTGGTGCTGGTGCTGGGGGCGTTCTGGTGGATTATAACGGTGTGTAGCCTGGATAACATTAATAGCCTCCGCAGCCTCGCAGCCTCCAACATCTTATTTAGTAAATTTAGCAATTCAAACGTTGAAAGTCCAGTTTATAGATTTTTAATCGGTTTATTTAATCGGTTTTAACAAATATTATCTTTAAAATGTAAACTTTATAAATATAGCTAGTAAACGATTCAAAAAGATAAATAATGGTATGTTCGCTACCGCGGTCGCGCCGAGAGTGACGATGGAAAGAAACAAAATCAAAATGCGAGGTAAAATGGAACAATTTTAAATTTAAATATGAGTAGAAGAAGAAAAAACGATACGATACGAATGGAGAGAGGCGATACAAAAAGGTGGGATGACGGTATAGGGAGGTCACACCGTCACAATACCCGGGGGGCCGGAGAAAAAAAAACCATTCAGGATTTTTTTTTAAGGAAAAAGTTAAGAAAAGAGGAGAAAGGATAATGGAGATAATAAAGTAAAAGTAGTGGTAGAGAAGGGATAGAGAGAGAGTAATAAAGAAGGAAAAAAGCAAGAAGGGATAAAACAAGAGGAATAGCAAAGAAGAAATATTGTAAGAGGAATGGCAAGATGGAATAAAGCAAGAGAAATAACAGAGGAGGATTATTGTAAGAGAATGGAAGGTAGCTAATTTAAGAGAAATAGAGGTTCAATGAAGATGCGTGAGAAATTTAGATATGTGAATGATAAATAATGCTATATACATTGGGTCGACTTCCGCTTTCAAAGTACATTCACAAAACCTTTCGTACCCATTTCATATTACATTCACGAAACTTTCGTATTCTCACACATATACCAGGCTATCAGAATAGAGGAAAACCCTAACCACAGTTAAAGGGAATTGCTCATGAAGCCGCCCACTACGGTGTAAGGCTTAAATTTGTGTTGGTCACCACCCGCCAACATTGTGAAAGTAATGATATGATGGTCTATGTACAAGTGGTTCAATGCCCACTGGTATGTTCGCTACCGCCAAAGAGAATTTAAGCACGCTACCGCGGTCGCCCAGAGAGTGACGATGGAAAGAAACAAAATCAAAATGCGAGGTAAAATGGAATAATTTTAAATTTAAATATGAGTAGAAGAAGAAAAAACGATACGATACGAATGGAGAGAGGCGATATAAAAAGGTGGGATGACGGTATAAGAAGGTCACACCGTCATCGTCACAGGACTAGCTAGATGGAGTGACGATTTGCGAAGGGCTGCTGGCAGCAGATGGATACGAGCTGAGGACCGAGCGCCGACCGAGGCCTATGTCCTGCAGTGGACTACGATAGGCTGTTGATGATAATAGTCCAAATACCCACATCAAAATTCCACGACAACAGAGAGTTTTTTGTGGGTGTTTTGGCTTCTGTCCCACTAGGACAATTCTGCAACTAAGAAATTTCTGCGACGACAATGATGTCCTGAATCTCAAGAAGGAAGCAAAGATTATTTGGAATAATTACCAAAAATTGGCAACCTAATAAAATTGCATAAGGCCAAAGCCTAGACGCCATATTGCCAAACAATAAAAAAAAAGTGTTCACGTTACGTTTGTTTATGGTTAACATGTTTTATTTTCTATCCTCCCGATTTTACAGGAGATGTACTGATTTATCACCATTTCGTATCACACTCTCCTGAAATATAATTATATCTCTGTCACATACAAATGATGATTCTGATATAGTTTATTTAATTTTATTTATTTTTGAGGTTCATTTTACTTCGTGCAGTACAGATAAATGGCGTCAATTTGATTATTTATTTTCCGTGTTACACTTTCTGTTTATAGTTAAAAATAATTTTGTAGTGTTTTTTTCTAAACAGCTGAATATTTCTATTTTGAAAACATTTTGTTGTATTATACAATATATATAATAATAAATAAATAACGGATGTACTAAATTCTCCCGATATTTTGATTACATCTTTAGCGAGTAATTTTTCTATAGTTTGGTATCACTGTTCTTCCCTCACCTCGCGTGCATTTTATTTTACATAAAAAAAATTTCTAAGAAATTTGTTGATTGTCTCAATATGTGTTTAGTAATTAGAAGTAAATAACTTCAATATCGTCACGAAAATGTGTTGACGGGGATTTTGAATCCACGTTTATTATTCCTAGCGATAATGTGCCGGTAATATTTATCCAATGCAAGTGGAACATCGTAATGCAGTGTCGCAGCGTGATTATGTTTACGGTGTAGATGCTGAAATCAACTTCATGACTTCAAAAGTGATGGAGACGCGTTACTACGAGGGCTGCGGCCGGCAGGGCCCAATTAGATGCATATTTTTGGGCGAGTTTCACCCCGTTGCTGGACCCAAAATTTCGTGTCAAGTTAGTCTACTTGCATTTACATAAGGTCAAATTTCATAACCATTACAGGATTGTAATCCATTTTGTTAGGTATTTAACTAAATGTAAGCAATCTTGATACATCTTTCTAATGAAACATATGCTTTGCAAATCAATGGGTATAAAAACGGACACACAGTTTCATATGAAGCTAAGTATTTGTGTTTTGTATTTGAAGGTAAGTAAAAATCATTTTATAAATGTGTGTTTCGTTAAATAGACATCTCAAGATTGTTTACATTTAGATAAGTACCTAAACAAATGGACTATAGTCCGTGTCACTTGCTTCCATATATGACTTCAAGTGTAATTTGCTTACCTAAAAGGTGATTGGAATTTTAATATGTTTACTTTGAAGGCAGGTGGCTAGCCTGCACTGTAGTTAGTAACAAATCCCTATAAGTGGAGATGACTGTTGCTAGAAAAGCGTACGTCTTGATATAATGTACTGGCAGTATGGTATCCTTCTCTACATATAGCACCACCTCCTAGATTAATGCTTTACCGCGGGAGTTTCAAATTCGCTGCATCAAAGTGCTGGAATGATTTGCCTCCTCTAGTACGAAACTCAAAGTCATCTTGTACTTTTAAAAGAAAGTGCAAGCTTTGGTTACTTTCGAGGCAAAGATCAGAAAGTAATTGGATGTAGTTTGTAATTATATTTTTATGTGCGGGTGCTGTTCATCTCTACCTAAGCCCCAAATTTGAGTATTTTTTAGGTGGAATATTTTATCTATCTCAGGTACTATAAGGACAATAGATTTATTATAACTTTAAGTGAGTATATATATATTTATTATTTTGTGATATCTTTTGGAGCTACTTGAGACGCGTCACACAAATACTATGATTAAAATGTAGCGAGTTTCAAAAAGGTAGGGTCTGAAAAACAGCTTAAGCTGAGACTATCCTTTTTATCTACACAGTATCTATAAGTGATGTTATTTATGACTAAATTGTTTTGTAAATGTAGATAAATAAAGTTCTTTATTATTATTATTATTATTATATTCTCTATACCACTTAATATATAGTTGTCGCACTTGCTTAGAGGTAGTGTTGCCTAGACTATATAAATGTTTATTTACTGTGTTCCAGTTTCCTGAAGACTACATTTCCAAAGAAGTATTTGATACAATTAGCGCCTACATTATTCCAAAGCCGCAGATTCAACAAAAATGTACGATGACCATGTAAGTTGATTCTGCTGACTTGGTAACAAAAATTTATTGTTTTTTTTTATCAATAAATAACTGTCTACGAAAACCAGTACATTAGCTGATATGAAAAATGGAATTTGCTTGCCTTATTGATTGGGTAGGCAAATACCTGTACCAGAGGAGCCATTAAAAATGTCGCCTCTTTAATACCGATCTGGTAGTCACAATAATGAAGGCTGCGCTGAACCAGAATGAAACCAATAGGGTTATCCATAAGAATACTTTATTGAATGAAAAATTTCAGAAATGCGCTTGGGCACAAAATTGTTGGTTATCCTATAAGAATAGACAACCCGCAATATGAACGAAACATGTACCTGTTCAACTTGTGCTTCGTGTGCGACAGCTGGTCTAAGACTGTACAATATGAGCCTGTTGTTAAAAAACTTGGTGAACATTTGGTAAGATTTACATTTAATACTTAAGCATTGTAATTTTTGGGAAGTACAGTTTTAGTTTCTAAAATAAGTAGGGGTGAGCTACACTCATATCGACCGCTCCTATGTAAAGTATCGTAAGTCGAAATTGCCAAGTTTACAGGGGAGCCTTTTAAAGTTCTCCGTTTTATTTGGTAAAGCTCGTTACTCACATAGAGTGATCATCTAATAACTGCCTCCATGGCCGAACGGTTACCATGCCGTACTGCTACGCGGAGGTCCCAGGTTCGATTCCCGGGCCGGGAGAAATATTTGTATGGCCTACATTTATTTCTCTCGTGAGTTTGGGTGTAATTTGTGATTGTCTATGTGTGTATCCATGGCACCCGCGACACAGGGTTTCCCTAGTGCGGGGCTATGTTGAATGTGTGCGTTATTATTATAAAAAAAAATAGATGATCACATCATCTAACCGAAATCTAGGATTTTATAATACTCTATGTGAGTAACGACTTTGCCGAATAAAACTGACAAATACTAAAAGCACGCGTTGTGCTTATTTCAGTGAATTCAGAACTTTAAAAGGCGCCCCTGCAAGCTTGGCAACTTCGACATACGATACTGTACATAGGGCGGATCGATATAGTCTCAGTCTATATTTCACATCTATTATAATCTGATTGATTACTTGTAATTCACCAACAAATGAGTCGTTCATTGTAAAAGTGAATTAAGTCCTTGTAATTAAATTTGGAGATAATGAACTTTTAGCCAATTAAAGTGTACCTAATTTTAGTTCTCTGAGTAAACTAGTAATGCTATCTATGGGATGTTAGTGCAATTATTGGAGTTGCATCACTTTTATAATGAAAGATACTTTTAAGTAAAAAAATGTGTGTTTTAAAATATGGACTTACATCAGTTTTTCAATGATGGACACAAATGTTATTGTCTCTATTATATTGTGCAGTAAATGGTCCCCTCCTTTAATAATGATTTTAAAACATATCACGAGAGAAAAGACCTCACTTGTGACAATGAGTCCATATAACATGTCCCCTTGATTTGCTATTCTCCAACTTAGTACTAGGTAATGAACAGAAATTCTCTCACATTGCATCTTTTACAGTGTACCACCTACTTCAACCAACTTTGAAAATATTTGCCCTTGGATCTCTGCTTTTGAGATATAAGTTGTTTAAGACAGTAGTGTAGGCTAATATAAATAAATATTTAAAGAAATAATATCACATAAGGTATACAATATATTCAAATATATTCAAATATTTATGAATGCAATTTAATATATTTGTAGACAATAATGGAAGAAGAAACACGATTTTTGTCTGGAGGGTCTACAAGACTGCCAACTCTCTTAGCACATTTACTGCATGATTTGAATACATACCGCAAAGCAACATTAGTTGGTAAGTATTTTATTGAAATGTGGGGACATTGCATCATTGTAATACAAGTTGAAAAGTCTTGAGCTGAAAATTTTTATATAACTTTGTCAAACACAAATCCACTAATGACTGTAGTACCTACTGGATCTTGTATAGTATAGTAGTTATGCAGAAGTTGAAGATAAACATTTACCTGTATCCAAAACTTTAAAGTAAAATCTACTTGTATAGAGAAGTTAAAGGTTAGTGCTTACCTGTGTAAAGAAAGTCGAAAGTAAATAGCGAAACAAATGTTAAAAAAAACATACTAAATTTCGTATTTTAACCCTTAATTGCGATGCATTGCGAATTTTCGAAGCGTCAGCTGCTGTAAATTAAGTACATTTACTTTTTAATTATTTCAAGTGTAAAACTTTGGCACATTAGATTGCAATTTTTGACCTAATATACATACATGTATAACATGTTGTAACGATATGACAGGCAATCAATTCTATATATTACCCAGTCTCAAACTAGGATCTGATTATTATTTGGACTTTTAGGTTAGTGACATTTGTTAAAATCATTTACAATCCCGGGACAAACTCACCTAGCGCCCAGAAAGAGTGCTAGACGACCGAAGATGACATATTGCCGTCAATTTGTAGATCAATTTCAATTTATTGTAAGGAAATGAGTAACGGACTCTAAGAGTCGTATTCCAGAACTCTACTCAATGCTCAAGTCAGGATTTGAGCAGATTTGAGTACGATTTCAAGCACTGGAAATACGACCCTAATGGCAAGGACTTGAGTATGATTTTCAGTGCTCACTGCAATACTCAAGTCCTGACTTGAGTATTAAAGCATCTGTACTTAATTTGTTAGCATTCTGTAGAAATCCTACTGATGAAGAAAATTACACTAGCTCAAAATGCACAGCGAATATAATAATATTATGTCGAAAAGACTAGAGACGCTATGGCCCCTTGCCTAGAATCAAACCTCGATCCTACTGCATCAAGTGCAATCCTAAAGGAATCCCAACAACCATCTTTAAAAGTGACTTGCGAAGTCGCCGCTTTATTATATGTTGGCTTTTCTTTTTACTGCTGAGCGAAAACTCTCAACTAGACGGTTCAATAAAGTAGAAATAGATGGCGACTCAAAATATTTATGGGTGAGCGCCATCTATTATCCATGGCGAAAACAAGTTTTAAGATGTGCATTGTACCGCTCCGCGGCCCTCGGATTTTATTGATGGTGTCACTGGCAACAGCGATTATATAATCTGCAAATGCTGTTCTTAGCGTAGCAGAGCATAGGTCTTGTGAACGGGATCTATAACACAGTTTTTAGTTCGCTTAGAACGGTTACACGGCGATTTTTAGCAGAGATGCAAGCACGCGTTTCATATTATTATTAGTATTGCAAAACGAGCGATTCGTTCTGTGTACCGTTTAGTTTCTTGGGTTTCTCTCAGAGAAAAGTTTAAGGAGACTGGTATCGTGACTGTGACATCACAGTACATTTACTCAAATATTTTATATGCCTGTAAAAATATATAATTTCAATAAGAAAGAAGATATCCATAATATGAACCTTAGAGCTAAGTCCAAACTCATGGTACCAAGATTTCGTAACCAAGGTAAACAACTCTTTTATGGGGAACTGTATACGTTTTTACAATAAGATTCCGGAGCATATATTAAGATTATCATTTCCTAAGTTTAAAAACTACATTAAAAATATTTTGTTTGAAAAGTCATATTACAAAATTGAAGACTACGTGTTAGATAAAGATGTATTAAAAGACATCCACACAAATTTGATTCAAAGTGTATTCCATAGCATTTAAATTTATTGTTTAATCGTATTAAGTGCTCGTTGTTCTCAGGGAAGTCAGCGTAGTGAACGAGCAGTAGCTTAAATGTGACGTTTTCAAGTGTAAATTTATTTTACCTATGGAATAATTAATCTTTGACTTTCGATTTAGTCGCTTATGTTGAATCATTATGTGCAAAAATCTGTATTGTGTTCTTAATTGTAAATTTAAAAGTGAAATAAATGATAAATAATTTAATTAATTAAAAAATTTGCATCATGCTTTCATCCAAGTCAAGTTTTTTTTTCCTAGGTAAGCATTTGAAATCGTCATACTGATTAAACTCCAGTTTTCATTCGTAAGGCAGATTCCCCTGAGAAGAATGAGCAAGAAACTCCAGGGGTTGCTCTTTGTAAATATACATTTGAATATGTGTATCATTACAATATTTAATTGAAACATCTTAGATCGCGAATACCTGAAAGAGTTAAACGGTTACTACTAAGAATTTTGTCATCCAAGTACGCAAAGTTGTATAATTGAATAACCTTTAGTATACAGTTTTTGTTTCACAAAAGTTTTAAACCTCGTAAATGGCAAATTTTGAATGCCAATTAAAATAAGATTCCGATTTTATTGTAGAAGCGTATACATTGCCCCCTCGCATCTCTGCTTAAATATCTCTCTCTGCGCAAATTATCGCATCGCGTTTTCATCGCTGCTTAACGTCGTGCGTGTATATAAAGCATCGAGTATATAACCAGAAATAGAGACGAAGTAAGGGCCACACATTCCTGGCAACTTAACAGTGATACATCACTTATAAATATCAAATCTCGTTTGGACTGAAATATATTCTGTATTTATTGTAACAAAGATAATATCTCCAACAATGGGGGCAGTTTTATTCGGTGGTGTGGGGAAATATCTAATTATAAAATAAACGGAATTAATTTTAATCGGTATTTAAAAATTGTATGTAATTTTGCAATTTTCGTCCATTATAGCAAAGCTCAAGTTAACTGGTCGATTTGAAGTGAAACAATCGACGACACCCGTCAATTGTTTCGAACTCGAACGGTAATGATATGGCAGAATAGTTTTCACATAAATTAAATGACATTTCGTCTCTATGATGTAAAGGTAGACCTCAGACCACATAAATACCCGGTAGACGATTACGGCGACAGCATCGCTGCTTTATCGCAACTAAATCCCTGCACACGCTGCTAAAAACCGTCGCCGAGTGTAACCCTCTTATTCTTATAAAATTCTAATCAGGCGTAGTCGCTAATACATAGGGCGAACAAGCATCGCGTTGTGCTATATTTTTTCTTTACCATATGTTTATTATATCGTGAGTAAATCGTTACAGAAGGAGAAACAGTTATGCATCTGAAAGTCCTTGAAGTCCGTAAGGACCCGCCTACTGTCCACGATCACGATGTGCCAGTGTTGGTAGCGTCTGTCGGTTTGCCCCGGCCCGGTCGTCCTCGTCGCACTGTTCCCCCGGTGAGCAAAGAGGGAATGCCGAGCCAAGAACATTTAGATCTGGATGACGAAGAGCCTTTCGAAGTCGACGTGGATGCGGACTGGGACCTGACTACTCGACAGGTAATTATACTCGTTGTTCTCTTCGTCGTTATCTTGTCGTCCCGATAAGACATACAAAGGGAAATGTTTTTGATAATATCAAGTGGCGGGACGGACAAGTCGTGCGCCTTGTGGTAAGATACTCGCCTGTCCGTAACAGTTGGAGTGCCATTCGGAGAAAGTTACAGCAGAAGCTAAGTTGACAAGTCCCATGTGCCTGTAATGTCATCAGCACCCTTACCCTTCGAAACCGGAACGCATTAATGCTGACGTTACTGTTTGGCGGCAGAAATAGGTAAGATTGAAAGGGTTGTAACCCTAACTAGCCGTGAACCGTTCACGGCAATGAAATGGGAAACTTCCAGTCCACAAAATTTATTAAAGAAGTAAAGTTTAAAGAAAGGCTGTAACAATATAAAGGTAAATGTAAAAAAACAGGTATAACAGTATAAAACACTCCCTACACTTTATTATTAATGCTAAACCCCTAAATGGGCCGAGAAACTGAATTACAGAAATAGATACATGAAGGGTGTATACTTATAAATTATTACACATGATTAGCTTATTAACAGCTCTGACTGTTGTGGCGGTCGAGCTGGGAGTGACCGTGGTACGAAAACAAAATGAGAATGTGAAGGAAGATGGAACAATTCAAATTTAAAATTTAAATACAAGTAAAATAAAAAAAATGATAAGATACAAGAGGAGAGAGGCGATACAAAGAGGTGAGACGACGGTGTAAGGAGGTCACACCGTCACAAGGTGACAGTACTTCCCTGGACGAACACTTTTACAAGGAGCTCTACTGCTACTAAATCACGCTGTTATCATGCTCGCCTGTCACGCAGAGGTCTCGGGTTCGATTCCCGGGCCGGGAAAAACATTTGTGTGGCCTATATCTATTTATCTCTTGAGTTTGGGTGTAATTTGTGGTTGTCTCACCCGCGATACAGGGTGCCATGAACATACACATAAACAACCACAAATTATCCATATACACCGTGACATTTTAGTGGTTGTTTTCCCGCAGCGAAATGATTTTGCCATGGACGTATAATCGACGAGTAATATTTTTTTTTATTAATTTTAAGTAACGTCGGATTTAGACAAGCATCGAACGAAACTCGAAAATTATCTAACACCCGTAGTAGCACTGCAGTAGGTAGTACTACTTTCATTCGAGTAAATGAAACAGTAGGTAGTACCTACTGTCATTCGAGTGAATGAAACAAAATAACGTAAGTGACCCATTTTTCCTTCATACTTTTACGGGCTTAGGACCGTCATAAATACTTATTACGTGCAGTTTACGGATCATTAAAAGTAAAAAAGACATGTTTAGATAGATCACGTTTTAAATGATCGTATTTAAGGCGTATTTAAAAAATGGAATCAACTTATTTACAATAATTATTAAACCGCCTTACCTAATTTGTATTCGTCCCGTATTTACACTTAAACTTCCCGATAACGCAATAATTGTTCGAAATGCAATCCGCCACGTTCAATGCACAATCTGGCACGTTTAATTTGATTGTTTTTTAACGATATTAATGTGTCTCTGTCACGTCTAACAACATCGAAAGCATCCGTTATTGCCGCCACTAACGCATCGCGAGTTTCGTATTCCTGCTGGTACACTAGGCGCTTTAGCTCAGACCACAAATAAAAGTCCAAAGGAGTAAGGTCCGGGCTTCTTGCTGGCCAAGGCACGGGCCCTGCACGCCCAATCCATCGAAGGGGAAACTCGGCATCGAGGTGGGCCCGCACGGCGCGCTGAAAGTGAGCCGGGCACCCGTCGTGCTGGTAGTACAAATCTGCTAGAAATGATAGGGTAACGTCGTCTAATAAGTCCGGAATAACGTTCCGTAACATGTCCAAATAACTTCCCCCGGTCAAGTTTCCAGTGATGAAATGAGGGCCAATAACGTGGCCATTGACTATGCCAGCCCACACATTTACACTAAACCGCACTTGATGCGCACACTCGCGGATTACATGTGGGTTATTAAAAGCCCAAAAATGTTCATTGTGCTGATTAAACAGTCCGACTCGCGTGAATGTAGCTTCGTCCGTCCACAAAATGTTCGCATTCCTGTTATCGAGCAACCACTGACAGAAAGTTACCCTGGCTGGCCCATCGTTTTCGTGAAGGACTTGCACTTTACGAAAATGATAAGGATGTAGTCCCTCACAGTTTAAAACTTTCCACACGTAGTATTGGCTTACGTCAAACCGAGCCGCAGCCATACGTGTACTTCGACGAGGATCTCGTTCGAAGTACCCGATGATCTCTTCGTCTAGTTCTGCTGTGTAAACAGCCGGCCGCCCTCTGCCCTGTGCATGCGCCGGCGTTCGAAACTGCCCATGGTCAAGCAGCCGCTGTGTTGCGGCGACAATTGTTCGTGCGTGTGGAACTTGGGGGTTTAAAATCCCCCGAAGACGCAGCGACTCCAAATGGTCTGGCTCCGCGTAAAGTCGCCGGGCGGCGTGGGAATCGTAATTAGCCCTAGCGTACAACTGCACCATCGCGACGTACTCGAAATTTGAATATTCGTAATGTCGATCCATTTTATGGTCATCGGTATGCGCAAATTCGCAAAACGAGCGTGGATGCGCTTGCGACGTCACGGGTCAACTGAAAGTGTAGCCGCTCCGTCGGCGCGGCGCGGGACCTGTCATCCACTGCAGTTTTAGTGCGTTACTATTGTTACTCGCATGTTCGAGTTTCGGGTATTTGTTTTTTGAAAAGATGTTTTTATTTTTTTATGTTTGTCTATTTTAAATATTAAAATTCGAAAGTACTACTGATAGCAGATCGGCCTGCCGCGGGAAAACAACCATTAAAATGTCACGGTGTATAATAGCCAGTGTGCGTTAAAAAAAAACGAAAAAAAATTCAACGAACTATGGCCAACTTTAATACTAATTAAGCAGCGTTCAAATAAGTCGCTAAAAAATTAACACTTAATCATATTATACGCATCAGCTAACAATCAAGAATTTCTTCAAATCACAAATTACGAAAAAATCAAATTAAATTTGCCTTTGGTTCTCTGCTTACGTGTTTTTAAACGGACTTTAAAAAAGGAGGAGGTTCTCAATTCGACTGTATGTTCTTTTTTTTTGTATGTATGATACGCGATAACTCCGGTATTTGTGAACCGATTTTCATGATTCTTATATACTTTTTTTTTATACTTTTTTTTTTTTTCATTTATATACTTTCATGGTACTTCCATAATGGTCCCATTTCATTTTGAAATTTGAAATCGTTTAAACTAATTTCTTTGTCCGGTTTTCCGATTGAGAGATTTAAGAGAGTTATGGCTTGAAGTTCCTCTTCCCACGGCGTTCATCTTACCGTACCTGACCCTACTTCTGAATAATATACTCAACTTCCGTAAGAAAAAAGTTACGGATGTATGTCCTATGTTGTCACTTATAATAGCATTTCTGTATGATGAAATTGTTTAACTAGCACTAAAATTGTAATGTGTATACGGTAAAATATAAATTAAGTTGGTATCATACACACATTTCTAAAGTGCCTATATATCAAGCACGTTTTTGCCAATTACTGAAAATCAGAAATTATAATGAAATTTTTTTTCACACCAGCAATTTTTTCTGTTTAATTTCATAGTTTACAAAGTAAGTAAATAATTTAATAAATTTATATTGACATTTTTACTTCATTTTAATAGAGTAATCGAATATTTAAAAACATACCTCATCACTAGACATTTTTATAGTGTGTAGTATTACGTCAGCATTTTTCGAAACTTTCAGTATTTCATTCGGTTGTTTTCACGTAATTTTTATTATTTATTTGCACAAAAGCTTTCAGTAAGTTAATAAATAACGCAGTAATATTCATATTTTGAATAATCTTATTTTTAAATTACTTTTCGAAGCTTTTATGACCAACCAATAAAATATACTTTTAAATATAAAGCTTCTGGCTCCATTTTCTATCTGCCGCAACTGGATTTATCAGACCCCACTTCTCTAAAAGAGCTGTAGTGAGTATACGCACCCTTACAATGGAAGTGACCTAATTGAAAAAATGAAGAAAATGAGTTTATACCGTAAAACGACTTTAAAAACAATTTTTTATATGGTTGTTAATTTGGAACTGACTTATTATATGGATCTCTTTAATTAGTAGGACGCACTGTAAGTTTCTGGAATGAATAAGAAAAAAGTAGCATAAATCATCCGCTTAGAGGCACTTTGCACGCGCGCCACTTTGGTTGGTTTCGGCTCATCTCGAAAGACCCATACGCCCGATTTCTGCTTTGTTTTGAGATCGTAACTATAAATCCATGTTTCGTCACCTGTTACTATGTCCCACACCAAATTTGACGCCCCTTCGATGAATCTGCAAACGCATGGCATTGCACCAAGTGACGCGATCGGTTTTTTTGAGCCTCAGTTAAATTGTGTGGGATCCACCGAGAGCACGACTTTTTCACACCCAAATGTTTGTGTAGTATTAGGGGTTAAAGTATGAAATTGCCGTTTTATTGCAATAGGTTCTTTGAATTTTCATAGAATCTTCATGGTTTAAGGTTTTCGAATGAAACTTTTTTCAAATGGTTTCTGTGATTTTTTTT